ATACTTCTTGTTTCCTTTCTTGTTCCAGTTGCCACTGTTGTAGTCTCTCTTCTTGTTTATGTTCTTTCTCCTTCAATAGTTGTTGTAATCTCTCTTTTTGTTTCTTTTCTTTTTCCTCCAACAGCTGCTGTAATCTCTCTTCTTGTTTGTTTTCTCGTTCTAGCTGCCACTGTTGCAGGTTCTCTTGCAACTGCTGTTGTCTCTCATCTTGTTTCTTTTCTTTTTCCTCCAACAACTGCTGTAATCTCTCTTCTTGTTTATTTTGCTGTTCGAGCTGCCACTGTTGCAGGTTTTCTTGCAACTGCTGTTGTCTCTCTTCTTGTTTCTTTTGCTGCTATTGTATTGCTGTCATCAAATCTGCTAAGCTGTAGTTTGATTTGCCGCTTCTCGTTTCCATTTTTTTTTCTTTTCTGTCCCACTCTCTGACACCAATTTGTTACGCCTCCGGTCGTTAATTTTCTGTATAATTTCTTTCAGAAGAAACTTTAGCGATACAAGTCCTTTCTTAAATGAAACTGGTTTATTCTTTCTAAATACAACTTTGCAATACACTTAATTTCCACAGTCGCGCTATAACAAACGCTATAATTCACAACGAATGTCTCACGTGCTCGACTCAACTGTCAATTACGCATTACATTGTTGCCGTCGCTTCTTGGCCGGTCTTATACATAAAAGAATTCAGAAATCTAGTAAACGCTAGAGCATTCAGGATCCTTCTAGACGTTAATGACGTGTTACTAGAGTCACGTGACTTCCGCTGTCATAACAATATATATATATATATATATATCGTGGTGTGTCACGTCACGCTTTAGGACAAGTCATAAAAGCCCAAATGCATTTTTGTATATAAAATAGTTCGATTCCAGTCTGCCCATTACGATTTTAGTGACAGGGGTGAAAAGGGGTTGTGAGGGTGGGGATTCCGTAAAACCTTATAAGTGTAGTGAGTGTTGGCATAATAAGCCTAAGGTCAAAATGTACTGTGTGATCGCTTAGCCTAGAGCCAAGTGCATAAAATTTATCATGAAAATAAAAATATCGATTCAATTTTAAACTTAAATCGTTTCTGAATTAAGTTATTTTCTGTTATATCGCCAAAGTTTTTAATAAAAAACAAACTTCTTTAATCAACTGAGACTCTAAATTAAGAAATCAACAAATATTTTTCCAGTTTTGTTGTCTATACATTTCATTTTATACTTTCAGTATATAGACTAACAACGATATTATGTTATACTTTTGTTGCCATTGTTGGAACGTGGTGTTACCAAAATGCACTGGCTTTTCTATATATTGTTGCGTCAGTGAGGTCACGTGACTAGTATCACGCCACCTGTTTCTAGAAATATCCTGTTCCTTAAAGAATGCCCTAACACTTACTAGATATGTGTTAGTCTTGTATATATAAGACGTTCGCAACGTGACGGAACAACAAGGTAATGAGTAATTGAACTGCAGTCAGAGAGTGTGTAATTGAATGGAGTATTGTTGAAGTCGAGCACGTGAGACGTTTGTTATAGAGCGACTGTTGAAATTAAGTGTATCGTAAAGTTGTATTCGGAAAGAATAAATCCGTTTTATTTAAGAAAGGACTTGTGTCGCTAAAGTTTCGTCGGAACGAATTTACGGAAAATTAACTAACAAACGGAGACGTAACAATATTAAAAGTTGTTAATCGAACTGATTTTTTACCAATAATTATTCTATGAAGCCACGAATTTATTTCATGAATGATCTTAATTCTGATTGGCTCACAAAGGAATTTACCGCCGTTTGACTGCCTCGATTGCACTTTTCCGCCTCTTTGTTAATTAAGCTTCACTTCGCAAGATTAGAATTAGAATTAGTTTTTCACAGCTTGTATAAAAGAAATATTATTCTGTTTTTCTACCACACGTATTTGTGTGGGGAAATTATAAAAAGAAAACCTACTACTTTAGCAGTAAGTTAAATTTAAAAGCATGTATTATTTCCATTTTTCAGAAATAACAGTTTCACCTCTGGTCGCTAGATGGCAGCATAAATTATTTATATAACGATAGTTTGTGACCTTTCATTGCAGAAACATGATATCTGCCAAAACAATTTCATTAAGAATAAAGAAAGAAAGAACAATCTAAACTAATATTCAAGGTATCAAGTATTTATGCATCTGACAGATCTATGGACGTGTTGTTTATGTCTGAATTTAAAAACACCAGTTTCTTAATTACCATAACAATGCATTATATAGTGGCCTACTTTTCTTCAAATTTTCAGCGCAACCAAGCCTGGCACCTGTGTGTGTATGCATTGTATCATATTTCATGGCCTGGGATTTGTATCATGTCCTCCAAACATATGGTGGAGTTGATTTTATGCACATGCAGTAAGTAAGAATAAAGTTGGAAGGCATGGGTTCTGTAAACATCTCCTTAACGTTGGTCCAGCACTCCAGGATACTTGTACTACTTTGGAGGAACCGTTCTGGCTTCACTGGCCCCCAGTGTAATCCAAAATTATAGAAACTGATATTAGTAATATATATTACCATTGAATTATAAAAATAAAGCAAATGTTCACTTATCAACCTTCTTCAATGAAATTTTTAAAAAGAAGGGGGTGAATAACTAATAAAACATTTTTTTGCAAAAATTAAGTATGATGTAAGTATGGAAATGTCAAAAAATACAGAAACCAGGTAGAGGATGGATACGTAAAACCAGACAAAAATCCCTACACATGTAGCCAGTAAGTACTGAGTCAATCTTACAAGCTTATGGTTATTAGCCACTGTAAGACTGTATAGCACTGGTCAGTTGCAAAAAAAAATATTACTTGATATAGTATAGTTTTATTTGTTTTAGAGAGCAAAACAACATTGGGATATCTGCTGTATCTATCGCGGGAATCGAACTCCGACATTTAATGTTGTAAATCCGTAAACTCCCCGCTGTTTAACAGTATAGTTATGGTACTAATTATATTACTATATTATTATTTGACATATGTTTCATACTTCATAATCACAGTTTCAAATTTTATTTTTGCCACAAAATATATAAAAAATTGAGGTGTTGAGAAACAAAATTTTGAACTGAAAGAGTACAAAATTTACTAACAGTGTTAAAAACTGCAGTTACACACTTTATTATTGAGACTACAAATATGTTAATCTAAAGGTTATAATATTAAGGATGCTGAGTGTGATGTGTTTGAATAGGAAGCTTAGTTGTGTGTGCCATCCTTTGCTTCTGTTAATTTTTGGATTTCTTTCGCTTACATGCATAGCTTCATATCTTTTATATCTTTGTATTTTGACAACAGAAATTCTAAATGAGCTATGGTTGTCTAAATGTGTGTGTAGGAAATGTTCTGATAGAGCAGTTTTATGTTTTTTATTTATATAGCGCATTAAAATGTTCCGAAATGCATGGTTTAAAGGTCTTGAGGTTTCTATTATATATATATATGTCTCCACATATACTGCATGTGATTTGATAGACTACGTTTTTAACTGGCGTTGTTGTTCTGTACCATTTTCTCGGGAGTAACATTGTTTTTAGTGTGTCTTATATACTGGGTGTTTGAGTTCCAGAAAGTAATGTAGTTCTTTTCAGCTTACTGCTGTCGGTGGATTCATATTACTGTTTGGATTCCTCGCCTTCAATGGAGGATCGCTGGGACATATTACACAGCCAGGAGATGGTGCTGCATTAGCTACAATTGTAGCTAATACAATAATTGGGGGAAGTTTCGGAGGCATAATCAATCTGATAATCCATCGACTGGTCGCATTAAGTAAACCTAGACAGTGGAGTCTACTGTTCTTCTTGAATGGAGTCTTAGCAGGAATGGTGAGCATTAAACCTCTAGATACATAACATCTCGAAAACACAGTAAAATCTCCAGCCATTAAGAACGAAGTACTTGCGTCAGTAGAAACGTCACATTGGTAGAAACTAATGTTGTATAAATTGTTACACAACTTGACAACATGTTTATAAATACTAAAAATAATCAAGACGCCTATGTATCATTCGATTTACCACATGTCACCGAGTTATACCACTTTCGAGGAATTTCATCCTTCGTTCATAACCATGGACAATAACTATGGTAAAATGAAAGAACAAGACCAGACTTCTTATAGTGATGAAGTGTATACGTACGTTGTTTTAATTTGTCTTTTATATTCCACCACTATATGAAACCTGGCTTTTTCTTTCAATCTGCCCTTTTCCCCAGTTTGTTATTAGTCACAAGGCTACACAACGGGCCACCTGTGGGCGAGTGGATTAACTAGAGTTACTGATAAAGGGTGGAATTTCACGAAAGCGGTATAACCAACTGACTAGTGGCGATCCAAATAATAGATTATCCTTCATGATTACATTTATTTTAAACACCTTGTCTGCTGAATGATTTAGTAATATCAATCTATATTTAATCACAGTGACAAAAACAACTCGTAACATCAAACATAAATTTATAAAGGTGTGTAAACTAATGCAAATTTTTCCTGTTTGAAATTAAACATTTTAAATTATGTGATGATACAGTATTGATAATCAAACCATGATTTGCAAACCTATAAAAGCCTCAGTCAGAGTTTATACTGTATACGAATACTAATGACTACATTTGTGAAAAATTGTTTAATGTTTGACATTTACATTTAAAACCTTCTGATATAAGATTTAAATTGAATTTAAAAATGTACGATTTGCTGAAACGTTGGAGATTTACCACCTCCTCCTAAAGTATGTTTCCGAAAGGTTTTTGAAGATATATTAATAATCTTTCTTTCTTTTTTCTGCACACACTGTTGTTTATTATATTTATGCTGGATATTGTTGAAACGACTGAGTAGGGCTGCTTAACATCGCAGAAACATAATTATGGTTGCTGAAACTGTTAAAATGCTCGTGAATATTTTGGATAAACGAAACAAGTAGTAATACAACATCACATAGCTGATGAAGTGATGTAAAATTTCTTTGTTAGCTTTACCAAGCAGTGTTAAAATAATTACACACGGTGAATGATTGTGTTCTTAATCGTAATTGTCAACACGCACATGTCAAACTTTACTGTAGTAGCAAGTAGAAATAATCTAAGTTTTAGTGTGTTCTCAGGTGTCAACGTGTGCAGGATGTGAAGAGTTCTACCCTTGGGGTGCAGCCGTTGTTGGCACTATTGGAGGATTGTTATTCTTCTTCCTACATGTTGTTATAATTGCTGCCAAAATTGATGACCCTCTTGATGCTGTTGCAGGTAAAGTAATAACATAAGACGTAGTAATCTTTAGTACTACTTGCTTAAATCATTGGATAAAATATGATACAAATAGTTACTTTGACTTACCAGAACATTTCATAAATTGTTAAGTAAGGTTTTAAATCATTTCAATTATTTTATTCGTATTTAGTGCACTTTGGTGGTGGATTCTGGGGACTGATTGCAGCTCCCCTTTTCAAACGTCACAGTGGAATTGTGTTCGACAACAGCAATGAATCGTTCATGGTTTGTTATAATTTATACCAAATGTTTAATTGTGTAATAATTAATGTATCCTTTTAACTTTTATTTTCGACTTTGAATTGTTTAATGGTCTAGAATTTACTTTTTAACCTTGTATTTTACTGCAAAATGTTTAGCAGACGAAAAAAACAAGCTATCATTTTATTGCTTAGTTTTAAAGCAGATCTGACAGTGATACATCCTATTAATATAAATTTTGTATATTTTCAGGGAGACTACATATTTAAATCTTCTAAAGTTTGTTTGTTTGGCTTTATATGTTCCTTATATCTGTACGACTTTTTTCCTACCTAGAATTTTTCAATACGTTTTGCTTTTTGATACACTTTTTGACACCTTTTGATTTGGCATGATTTGTAATTTTCTTTGACTTGGCATGATTTATAATTTTTATCTTTTATTTCTTCCTTTCAACTAAAGAATGACTTGTGTTATTGTATAATATTTTCTGGAAATTATATTTAATTTCTGAGAAATAGTAAAAGCATATTCTTCCTACATTTTAAAACAATTAGTTTTTACTGATCTAAGATTATTGTCGTTTAAAAGAATTACTCTAAGTATCCATGGAATTAGTGCTTTGTTTATTGGTTTTAAAAACTAGCATGTGAATATGCACTGTGTTTTACAAAGAATGAATATCACTATGTTGTACAGGGACTTGCCTGGAACATTGCAGGAATGACTGCAATTATAGGGTGGAGTGGAATCCTCTCACTTTTGATGTTTGGTCTACTAAAGGCCTTTGGACTGTTTCGTGTAGACCCAGAAACTGAATTGAAAGGCAAGTTGAATTACACAGTTGTGCTTGAGGTAAAAGTCAGAATAACAATAAAAATAATGTGTTATTTATGACTCAGTATACAAATAAATAGTATTAAATCATTCCTTGTACAAACAGTCTATCAAAACAATGTCAAAGTTTTATTATACTCCTATATTCATTATCCATCAATAAAGGATGAGATTATCACAATACTGTAAAATTCAACTCAAAGAAAACTGAAAGTGTACATTATGGGTCACCTGGGGTCCTACCAGACCCCAACACAAATGTATCCTTATAGTAGGCTATGGATTACTTACAGTAATTATCAAATACGGCATTATAAATAGTCATTGCAGAAAACACTTGTTGAGGAATGAGATTCACGTACATTCTTACCACAATTATGTTATAAACAAACAGACCAGATTATACTTTACAAGTTTGATGAATATAACAGTCTATATAGTGAAATAAGTGTTTATAAATTTGTTTCGTATGCTAAAATGAAAACTGCATGTATAGTGATGGTCAATGATAGTATGGGGTCTGAATCGGCCCCCAGATAAATATTAGGTTATAGCTGCATACTCCATCTGCCTGTTTTGAAAAGAATAGGGACATATTGATCAAGGGTTTCTGCTTGACAATTACATTAATTGATAGAAATTTTTAATGATTATGTAAAAAGATATACAACCGAGAAAGTTGTTGGGGGTCTATGTGGACTCCGGGTGTGCTAATGAGGGTTAAGCATACATAGCTAACAACAAGATATCTAACAACCCTATACACTTAAGACTTACGGTAAACCATCTTTAGTAGAAGGATTAATTACTTACTGTCTCTTACACAAATTCACAATACTACAGAGTTGAACTTCGTAAATTGCAGACAGCCTGCTATCTTATATTAAGTTATGTTGTCCAATTATATGCTATTGAATAAATAACAATTCTATAAATAAACAGTTGCTTATATGTTGTGTAACTTAATTCAGGCTTGGACATTACAAACCATGGAGATCCTGCTTATCCAGCTCCGAGCTGGGAAGAGGAACAGTATTCACATCGCTATGCACAAGATGGCAACCACACAGTGGATGGCAGAAAATCCAAAGATCAAACAGGCATGTGTGTTAACTTTGACTTATTATAGCAGGATAGGTAGAGAAACAGTAAGTTTTCATTTTTCACACCACAAAGCTTAAAGAATGGTAGACCACGTGGGTTAGACTTAGCCCTTCAAGTACATTATCATCTTTTGTGAAAATAAAAAAATTAACAAAAAGTGAACAGGTCCAATGTTGACAAATTTTTGAATAAACTGTAAGGTTGTAGAGAATAAAGAACAGATATGGCCAATGGAACATTTTTGATCAAATTGTACAGAAAAGTGGGTTATATTAGTTCCCAACCTTTTTCCAACTGAGGAGAGCTAGTTCCAATCCAAAAATTTTGTACATTAACTTTTTTAAATAATTTTAAGTTGCATTGTAAAACACTATAGTAGCTATATTTTAAAATACACTTTTTTTTAACAATCTTGCAAACTGGCTGAAATCTCCCCATGTACTGGATGTTGGGAACCACTGGATTAGGTGGTTCGGAAAGTCATATATATCTATTTTAGATGTAAAGGAATAAGGAAAGATGAAATAGACAGTTAAAGAAGAACCACCTTAATTTTTTGTGGAGTTACATAGTTTAGACAAGTGACTTTAGTGAATATTTTGTCTAAGTGGAAGTTTTGAGGATTAAATGGTATTCCTGTAATACCAAAGAATGAAATCCACTCTTCTGGAAATTTTTTTGTTTCAATTTCTATAATTTCTGAATATTTAACATAGTTACATTATTGCAATTTCAAGCCTGCAAGGTGCAAAAGGCTTTTCATTATTTTGACCTTAGCATACAGTATTTAATACTAGCTAAAAGGATTCTGCAAGAAATTATTCTCTAAAATCATAGAAATCCTGTATTTTGGATGAAGTAAACTTTTCATAGTAACTACAATAAATCTACTGTTGTTTTTTTTTTCTTTTTACCTGAAGCTTTAAAAAGAAATAGTTTACATGAAAGTAAAATATAAACAAAGAAAAAAAGCACAAATGATAAATTTTGCAAATTTCTTCCCTTGAATAACCAACAAGCTTAAAATTCAAATGTTTGTTTGTTTATATAACCTTGGGTTTTTAATTAATGTTTTTTTTCTGATTCAGAAGTAGACCTCCTTCCAAATATGACTTTCAATGAAAATTCAGGAAAGCGGACACGCAAAACTCAACCGGAACCAGGTCGCTTTAGGCTGATGTCAACATCAACTAATCCAGCATTTATCCCAGATACCCAAACAACTACACATCTGTAGTCATACTCCAAATAACTACAGACATAATTATCTAAATATAACTCATGCATAATGTCCAAAATGAACCATACCTGCAGACAAGATTTTAATAGACTTTTGGTCTATAGCAAATGCTAGATCTTACATCTCATAGGCATAAATCCATTGGTATGATTCTGCACTGATAAAAGAGTTACCAATAATTCCCCAATCATTAGATAACATTTTAACATACAATTCAGTTTTGACCCAAGTTCACATGTTCTGAAATCCATCAAACTTGTGAATGTCATTAAATACCACAAATCTCAATAACTTCATTTTCCAGATCATAATATGAAAAACACATATGCACATACACAAACACACATATATATATATATTCTCTATTTAAGATACCAACATACTCCTAATTCAAAACACACATTTAAAATCTATTTCTGAACTGTTGTGTGCATTCAGTGTATAAAGTTAAAACAGACATGTAATAGTCTTAATAACTATATATAACTCACTGCTTACATAAGAACTCAACCGTATGATGAATGACTCCACACAAGGGAAGACTTAAAGTTTCGGAATCAGAATATATCATAAGATAACAAAACAGTTGTAAGTACAACCTATCATCCAACTATACACACCTACAAACTTGTCTCAAATAATAAACCAAGTCATTTGAACCACCAAATTGATCCAATAAGTTGATTATAAGTTATAGTGAGCATATGAACCACCAAATAGTCTTTTGATATTATGTATGTTCAAAAAAAAGCTAAAACTTTTGGCACACTTCTCTCTTTACAATGATTTAAAATTATAAACCATACCTAATTATGGATAGTATTTACATCTTTGTTTTAATAAGTTTTTTTGTATCATTTTCATCGCATTCAACTTGTAAAAAAATTCAGCTACAGATAACTCCATTTAAATTTTTCAGGAAGAAGGTCCATACACACAGTTAAGTACTGACAAACTAGGAATGTAAGAGATCATACATTAAATTTCTGGAAGTTCAGAAAAAAAATAGGATAACATGATAACAGGCTAAACAAATCTGAAGAACAATGGTAAGCACAGCTGAGTCCATGATCAGTGCCACAGTTTGGAGTGAGGGGGCTAAGGAGAGTAGAAAATGGGTTAAAGGAAATTTAGTACATTTTAATTAAATATTTAGATATTCATGCAGAATTAACATTAACATTACGGTTCCTGTACTGTGCATCATCTATATTTGTGCACTAATAAAAGTGAAAAAATACTAATTTTCCACAACAGAACATTTAATCCTTTCAAGGAAAAATCACCAAGTTTTTATACCATATTTTCCACCTTTCCATTGCCCTTTTAGAGTTCATTTATCACTACTTTGTTAAACAACAACCAGCAGAATTCCTCCTAACAACCACTGTCATTATCTCCAATCAACCGTTAGTAGTATTTTAATCTTAAACAAACTTGACAACAACACACATGCTAGTTCTAATATGATGCTGATCCGTCGAGCAGAAATAAGACTGAATTAGAAAAAGTGTTTGCCATTGGTCAAGCAGACTTTAACACTCCAGTGTTTACTGTTTTATTTCTGGGAAGTACAACCACCTCACCCCAACATTTAAAATATTTTATCATATATATGTATGTATGTAATAGAAGGTAAGGTTTCAAATCTTAGTTTTGCAGTTCATTCCATACAGTGATTACAAGAACATTTCAGATTTTATCTCCTTGTTAATCTTATTTTTTAAAGCTTAAAATAACATTTTAAAATTAAAACTTTTTACCTATACCAGTCATAGTTTTCATAGTTTTAATTACAGTGTGTGTATTCTTGCCATCATGAAATAAAAGTTTTTGAAGAAATTTACCATAACTTCTTTTAGATTTTGAAAAAATAAGGTACAAGTATTACTTTATAAAAGCAGTAGGAAATTAAGTTACTTTCATTTAATCGTAAATTTGAAGAAGAAAACTGTCACACTTTGATGAAAACTGTCTAAGAAAAGTAGAATTACACAGTTCTCATAGTGGTTGACCATTTCAGTTTTATATTCAACATTCCTGTCTGCCATTACTCAGAAGCCAAAATTTTGTTTCCTTTGTTGTATACATCTTCTAGTTTCTTTTCAAATTAGTTTCCCGAGCCCACACTCATTTTTCTTTCCTTGGGTTGTATTTGAATAGTGTCCTGAAGATTATTTGTTTCACAAACTTTAACGGGATTGCAAGTATGCACAAGTAAACTTAGCGAACAAGTTTCACACGATAAAATCACTCTGTCCTCTGCAACATCTTCTCCAAGAATGTAAATATCACCACATCTGCAGGGCCATTTGTATTCATGTGTGTCTATGAAAGAAAACTAAACAATGAAACAAAATAATGCACTTAGTTTCAACAATATTGTTTCAACAGTTACTGAATATTACAAGGATTCAAACAAACAAATAAATTAATATTCAGTACAACACTAGGAAATTTTGAAATTAAGAGTGAAAGAATACGAACTACATCAAGCATACATTATTATTCCTATATACATTGAATAACATGTGTACATTTTACAAAATTCTTTGGTTTATGCTTGATGAAATTAAATGTTAAAAATGACTGAATAATAAATGAAAACAGTTTAAAATCTCAACATTATTTTTTTGAAGTAAGATGTACATATCTGAGTACCAATAATTATTTCATTCAAAAAAGTACTTGGGGTTTGATAAAAACATCTTTAAAACAGTATAATAAGTATACCAGAATTCCAAGTCATGTCCTCAATGAAGATCTTCTCACTGACTGATATATCTTGATGTAAGCATTGTTCTAAAATACGTAATACAAATAAATATATATATATATATGTTTGATAGCAGATTACATGTTTACATATCACAATATTAAGAAAAAACATCTAATTGTCAATCATGTAAAATCTCTACAGTCCTATCTGGCATACACTAATCGATATTCATCACATTATCTAAGTTTAATTCCAATAATCCTAAGTAAGTATACTTTGTAATAATAAGTGCTTTAAGGCATATGCTTTATTAGTAAACCTAGGATAACTAAACATTCTATCTTCTATAATGTACCTAATGTTGCCATATTCAAGAAGAGCTTATATTCTAAACAAAGCACTGAACATTAGGTTATCTAGATGTCTAAGACTTTCATTTTTTGTCATATTTGTTATTTTTCATCAGGATATAAATAAGCTACAAAACAGCTAAGAATGGAATATAAGACAAGAATTAAAATATGTCGAAATTTCACATCAACATATATTTATCTAAAAATATTTATCTAAGGTAAAAGTTACTTACAGAGATTCATTTTTATATTATTGTTGGTTTAAAAAACTAGTATTAAAAAAGGGTTCCTGCCTTTAACATATGTGACAGGATGTGTTTCATGTGTATTTGTTACAGCTATTATTTCTATGTAAAGTAATATTATGTATCCTGCTTTTAATGTATGTCAGAATGTGTTTCACGTGTATTTGTTATGGCTTTTATTTAAATGTAAAGTAATGCTATGTAATTTACCTCTATCCCAATCATCTCTATCTTAAATTCTTTCCTAACCAAGATTTAACACCACAAATTAATGGTAACATAACATAACTTGTCCTGGACTTTCATAATGACAAGTTAACAATTCAAAAGGTTAAGAAGATACACAACACAAAACCTTTCAGCAGTGTATCATAGTGCTTTCTTTGAATGTCATCACCAAGAATCTTCCAAGCTTGTTCTACTTTGTGAAACTCTACAGTTGTGCCATGTTGCTCTCCTTGTTGCTGTTTATCTGGATGGCACTGTGAATAAAGTTTACAATTACATATTATTCATTTAAACACTACCAACATGGAAAAAGGTACAAGATTACAAGTTCCTAAACTATTTAAGTTATATACGTGCAAATCAGTATGCACATACTCACATACAAACATGATATAAAAATATTATTTTATATTAGTGCTCTTGAAATGGAAAATACAAAGCAATATATTAAATTAAAAATAAATACATGAAAATCACAAAAATTCATACACTAAGCCTAATCTTATATAAAATGAGCAAGAAGAGTTTACTGTATTTCTAGACATTTCCAATTTAAGTGTCTAACAGTAAATGGAAAAAGTTTCGGTACTAAATTCATAATTCTATTCATAAAATAGTTTTTCATTCAAAAGTTTCTTGATTATCAAACACTTGATAACTGTGCAAAACAATTTAAGGTCAGATAGTATCAAACTAATTCATTTATGAAAATGTGCATGCAAAAAGGTAAAATGTACTTCAGTAAAATTATAAAATACTTCCATTTTTACATGTTAAAAACCTGAAATATTAGAACTACTTCATTTCTTTAGTATAATAAATATGCATACACTATGATAAAGATCTTTAATCTTAGGTTTGTAAAACTGAAATTAAGTTTATTCATTGTAAGGGTAACATTCACAAAATACACAGCCTTCTTACATTTATAAGAATCAATGTAAAACAATTCATAAGTTAAAAACCAATAATACAACACTTGGCAAGACAGTACTTTATGTTGACTAACATTCTTATAATTTAGGAAAACAGTACTGTTTTGGAATATTTTGAAATTTACATATGTTTCAAACAGATATATTTATTGACAGTCTAGTATTTATTCAAAATTATTAGAGTTTTATTATTTAAATGTTCATAATTAAACATTTGTAACAGCTGAAGAGTATTACGAATACTTAACACTTTGCAGAAGTTTACAACAGTACAATATTAAAATTAAATGTGATAGTAAATGAGTTATTTTACAAAATTTCCTTTCATATCACTTTGTTTCAATATAAAAGTGTTAATTCAAGGCAGTAGCTTGCAATTTTCTATTTATACTATACATAAACTAATTAAAAACTTGAACTCTGTCCATAAAGATTTTAAGCAAGCACACAATATTCTGATATGACTTAAGTAACATTTATTTATAAATGTTCTAAAATCATGACATTTATCCATCTGCTTCTTAATTATCTCCTTTGTCTCCTACTAATATTCTTTTGTGAATATGGAAATCTCATCAGAAGGATGAACAGTAAAAGTAAAACATGACTGCTCACATGAATTCCTCTAACCAAAAGGTTTAGATAGTGTTCTACAAATTTATATTAGAATGACAACCCATACTGAATTAATAAATCTTTTGCTTTAAATTGCTTCTGTAAAGTGGCCAAACTGTATGTGCTGAAGGATCATCTGGTCACTGCACAACATCAAAGAAGTCTGATGACAGCAACAGTATCTTGCTCAGTAAAAATGACCCACAAACCTTTCCATCCATCAAAACACTGGATCTGTCTTAACTTTAAGTTATTACTTCAACTTTCCAATTACCTCCTTACTTCTGTGCCGATCCAAGCCAGATAATACTTCTCTCTTGTCAATATCAGGCACAGCTTCTGCAAAATTCAAAAAGTGAGCTGCTCCCCTGACATCCTCCTCCAGAGGAAGAGACTTTCCCATGTAGGATCCAGAATCATTTGTTGGCCAGGTGAATTGAACAGAATACAAGTTCTCAAGGGTGTTAATGAATTGGTACAAAACTGAAAAAGTAACTCAGCTGTCATGCTTAGGATTTAGTTAGTGCTTGTTATGATCCTCATCAGCTTGTTAACTGTGTACAGTGAGTCCTTTTTCCAATTCATCAATAACTGAAGAAGTAACCCTGCTGTCATGTTTAGGATTTAGTTAGTGGTTGTTATGATCCTCATCAGCTTGTTAACTGCGTAAACTGAGTCATTTTTCCAATTCAACAACAAGCTAGTGATTAGGGCAAGACAGACCGTACTCAGCAAGTCAACTACATCCAAAACCCAGCAAGCTGGGAACTGACATCCATGTGGGGGTAGGATGAGGGTCATACCATCTTCACCTCAAATTCAAGAGACCAAAGGCAATCTCAAACAGGGCACATGTTAAGAATAAAAAATGATATATAGATCTGGGAACCTGACATCTAGAATAAAAAAGATGTCCACAATAGAGGAATTGACTCCCTCAACGATGAAACTGACCGGAACCAACCCAGGTGCAATAAAGTCCTCAGAATAAGATACATCGAGGGAGAGCAGAAGGGAAATAACTAACAATCCCTAGTACCTCTACCACAACACAGATGGAGTACGGTTGAGGGAGGAAGATAGACATCCATAATACATGTGTGAGGACTTATGTTAATTGGTTCTATTTTAATTCTAAAACCCAGCCAGTGGGAACTGACATTCACATGAGGGTAAGATCAGGGATCCCAATCGAAGGAGTGAACTGCAATTTGACATCTCACTACTTTGGTTTATAGCAGAGGATATCATGCTTCCTACATCAGCAGAACACCACCACCTTACTCTACACTGAATGGTATTTCTGTATTGAAATCTTATGTCATTAAACCATTCAGGAGGATGCCTCCACAGCCCACTACCTCTGTGGCTTGGTACTGGAAAGTGGTAAGGAGTTCCAAACTCCACTAGAAGAAAAGGAGGGGTGAAACACAGTGGAGAGTCTGGAGGAATGTCAATACCTGATACAGCACAATGGGTGGCCATGAAACCCTATTTTTTAAAAAACAGACCATACAAATTTATTCAATACAAGGCATGACAGGGATGGGCAGCTATCCCCTTGTGCTTTACCCATGTAGTACATGGGTGGTACAGTCCAGGACAAGCACATTTCTGAAGCAATTTCACTGTAAGCAATCTTGTGGAACACCCCATCTGAACAGTGTGCATTGCATGTCCATAGAACATATTAAGCGCATCAACATGGCTGAACAGTGCAGATTTTAAAGAATACCTGGTCAGACAACACTCACCACAGAGTGAGATCCAAACAATGAGAATTATGATGAAAAGAAAATTAGGCCCCAACACATTTTAAAAAAGAATAAATATAAGTCTGAGAAATGATATCCCAAAAAGGAAGAAATGGTGACCCTATGCAAATAATGAGAGACAAATGTATTAGGTGTAGTCCACATGCCCGACTGCAGAATTTTCTCCAACAAACGGCGAAGATGAGATGCCAGAGAAAAGATAAGGTGTATAATTTGATTAGAAGACACCTGGAACAACAAAAGAGAGAGGAATAAGCCAATTGAATCAAAAGCTGAACTCAATTGGTGACGGTGGAAGTAGAAAGATCATGAACAGAGGATGGTTGACAAAGAATAAAGAGGCTGGAACATGAACAACGAATGGAAGCTGTGCGGGAAATATAACATGGAAAAAGTGTTTATACTAGATGTAAGACCCGAAGTTGTCACATTAACCTTGGAATTCATGGTAAATAATAAATCAAACAAATTGTTTGATAGATAAATATAAACATGCAAAAAAAACAAAAAATCAAGATTGGAAAGTAAGTTGAAAATAAAATCGTCAGCTGTATAATAAAAAAAAAAGAGAGTATAGCTTAAAGTTACAACGACGAAGAGATGATAGCAAAATTCTTAATGTCTAAATACAAGCACTGCCAGATGAGAAGTGATAATTTGGTAGAACTGAATAGAGGGAGTCGCATGTGTTACGAGTGTGTGTGGTACTGTCATTGGTGGAGGATTGTTGCATGATGATTTGCATGAGACTCACACACACATTGGAAAAAGGCATTTCCAAAGGATGAGAGGCAAAATACTTGTGGCATGCACAAAAAGTTTGCATATAGAGGGCAGCACTGAACAAGAATAGCTAATTATGTGAGCGGATGTAATGTATGGTATGGCAAACCACCCTTTTTAGAAGTTTCCGGATTGAACTTACATTTAATATTCCACAAATTGTAGTGTATAAACATCCATTGGCACCTGAGGGATGTGTTAATATAACAGACTTATTCCAAAAACCAAAATAATTCCTATGATTCCTGAAGGTTCCAGCTTTCAACTGATATTATCTATAGTCACAAGAGCTGAAGCCTATATGAATCAGATAGAATTTGGTATAAATCCCATATATCAAAGAAAGCATCCTCCATTGAACTCATAGCAACAGTCAGAAATTCCATATAAACCACCATGATAGGACTCAGAAACTAACAAAATTAAGAGAAATATATTCTTGCTATGTTCAAGATGTATCCATTCTAAAAGAACATGAGAAAAGTTGATTTTTCACTACTCAAGTTAGTACCTTCATATGAGATGCACAGGATAAACAAATGTCTAATGCATTTTCATTTTCACTAACACTCTCTGGTTCTGGTATTTAAGTAGGCCTACTGCTAGTTCTTCTAGTTTTCATGGCAAAAATGTATTAACTGCATTAGGGCATTTCTTGCAGTTATTCATGTGCTATTTATTTTAGTAGCTTCAAATGCAAACATTTTCCCACAATATTTCAAAGTGAGAGTCTAAATGTTAGTCCCAGTTTCTTTACTAATACAAATAATTCTTAATAGTCCTTATACTCTTACTAATGTTTACTAAATAATTTGTATTATTCTTCACAAGCACTAAAATATCAAACTCACAAAATGCAATTACGAAAGCTGTCACACCATTTCTGTAGGCCTAAGCTATAATAAAAATGGTCTAAAATGTCAGCTCTTCACTACTGACTGGATGAGTGCTTTTGCCATCTAGTGAGTGCAGTGAAAACTACTTACAAAAGTCCTCAATTTTCCATTACTAGATAAATGTTTAATATTGGTGACTGTTCACACAACTAAGTGCTGACTGTTGAAGCAAATTATTGACCTAAGGCCCAGTTTGGTTTATATTAGGAACACATCTATTTAAATGATAAGTACAAGTTATCCTAAGTAGATACCATCTATGTATAGTTTGCATCTAACTGTACTTTTTATTTTTATGAATTTAATTTATAAAGTAGTAATATTACCAACTTGCATCACTACAGACAGCTATTCCAGATTATGGAAAGAACAAAAAATAGAATCAGGTTTTTGCATTAAAAACAATAAAAAAATTCATTAACTGAAACTAAAAAGTATATTCAAATTCAATTTAGTGCAACAATTATTCCAGTGTTTCTCAAACTGCAGTATGTTTACTCCTGGGAGTATACCAAATTAAAGAGGGAAAACAAAACAAGGTAAGAAATAAAAGGACAAAAAAAGTAAAAAGAACTTCCTGAGAAAGATAAGTATGTTTATTTTTACACAAAATGAAGATGTCCACCAAGCTAATGAAAAAGATCATTTCAACAAAATACCTAGCTCTACTACCAAAATGCATTATTCATACATAAATATGACACAATTCCAAC